AAAAAAGTATTAATCCATCTTTTCTCCCTTCTCTATGGATAAAATAGGAAATCTGTCTAGGAGAAAATCTCTGAATTCACGACTGAACTGTATGATCCTGGGATCAAATCACGGACTGTCTTTTGACAAGCTATAGCACTCAAAAACCTACCCCCTGACAGGTGAAGAATGGTAGAATCTCAAAGACCAGGTTTTTAGTATTGAACTGCAATGGTGTCATGGTAAAGATTCTTCATATTCACTTAGGTACAATAGACGAAACCTAATTACGAATCAGATGGGTACATGTAATAGTGCCTTGTATCTTTTAATATATGCGCAATCGAAATGCGCCTATGACGAAGGAACTTCCCGGTGGACGAACTTGTTAGTTCATTATATACAGAATTCGGTGTAAGATGGCCCAGAAAAGGAAAAAGAAACTTTTTGCTTTTGACTGTAAAAGAGAGAAGTCATATTTGACAAAACACTTTTGAAATGTTTGATGCTTAACAGTACAATACGTTCTTAGATGTGCGGGTGGTATTATGAATATAGTCTTGGACAGAGAAATCAGAGATCCAGGTTCAAATTCCAGTTGAATTCGTTAATTTCACTTAGGTACAAATAACATTGGGGAAAATAGCGGTACAGTCTAAACTCTCTAACCATTGGTTGGCAACCAGCCTAGAAGGAGGAAAACACTGAATAACAAACTGTATATGACCCTGGGACTAAATCACAGCAAATATATGGAAGCCATCCCAGGGTTACAGTGAAAGCAGCGGCATTGTCCGAATCTAAAAAAAAAAAAAAAAAAAAAACAGATTTGCGTCAATGAATTGAAATGGTATCTCGCTAAAAGGGTCCTTGATACTGAACAGAGTATGAGATCGAATTCTTCAGAGTCAGATGGAAACCGTAGAAACACATAGAGTAGCGCCTTGTGCCTTCTAATATATGCGCAACCGAAACCCCAATGAAGACAAATCGGGCGCATTTCGACGGACGACTGAGTTAATTAGAGAGGTGTTTTAAGGAAGATTAGAGTTTTCTCACTCCCAGTGAACTTACAGTGCCTCTGGACACCAATTCAGGCATCTGGATACCATCCTCGCGTATCACATGTTGCTATACTCTGTGTACTAGATGACCATTGATCACAGGAGAGGATTCATCCGACCTTTGACAGGTTTTGCTTTTAATCCTGATGGGTCACTAGCCGCCCTCCTCACCAGAACAGCCTCGTGAGGGAAGCGGCTACGTCACCGATATACTGAATACGTGGCAGTAGTAATGGGTTACATGGTACCAGTCGCACTCGTAGATAGATAGATAGATAGATAGATAGATAGATAGATAGATAGATAGATAGATAGATAGATAGATAATTAAAAATTTAACATACCTTAATAGAAGAAATAAAAATATAATGAAAGTTTTTTACAGAATTCTATTTAGAAAAATTTTAAATATTTCTTATGTGATATTTTATTTTTTGACTCCGGAGTCCCATCTCGAATTTCTAATTAAATTTTTAAAAATGTCAAATATTACTTTGAATAAAAATTGAAATACTAAAATAAATATTCTTTTGAAGAAATCAGATATTATTAAAAAAAATAAAATAAAATAAAACTATGTTACAACTGATTATTTTCGTTTGGTTCATTTTTTTAGCGGCATATCAACACCTCTATGGGTCATTTAATGCCGAGATCTAAATATGAAAATTCAAACTTTATAATTAATTCAACAAACCAAAGAACCAAAGTGAAGTGTTGTCTGTCATATGACCACTTATCTACCCGGATCATAGACTGCTCAGCTACCAGGTTTCTGTCCTCAGGCATTACGGCTTGCCATCCACGGCAAACAAGTGACCTCATAGAGTGGGCGTATTCTACAGCCGAAACTGACAAGGTGATGCAACGGATTAGATTTAGCTATCGTTGATAAAGAAATGAAATTTAAGCAAAAACACCGGTTTATTTGGTGATTGGGTTGTTACAAAATAAGAAAAGAATAACAATGAATGTCAACATTTTCATAAAATCATCGTAAGTTAATGATTGCTTTGCTAGAATTTTAATTTCAATATCTAAGAAATCACTTATTTGTCATCAAAAGTCCAACATTTTTTAACATTTTTCGTTGATTCGTTTTCTACGGGTTATCAACCCTTTGCAGGTTATTTAAAGCCAGAAAATATTTTTACATTGTAAGAAATTTTTCTTTTTTTTCGGAGATTATAAACGTTTTGGTATTATAAGTCTTATAGCCGGAGAAGAGGTGAATTTATACCCCTTTTCCCAAGGGTATATGCTGCACGTAAGTGAACATAATGAATGAAATTGGAATTCTGCTTTCCGATTAGCAATTCCAATTCTAAGTCATTATCCATAACACCAGCCCCACATCCAAGTTTACAGCATCTGATATTCCCAACCTGACCAGATTCGACGTTGCTTAACTTCGGTGATCGTACGAGAACCGATGTTTCAACGTGATGTGGCTGCAGTCCTAACATTTAGCTCTCGTTAATAAAAAAGAGAACTTTAAGCAAAAACGCGTTTTTATTTTTGCAGGGGTTGAAAAATAATATGAGCATAACAATAAAAGGTCACCATTTTCATAAAAGCGTCGTAATTTAATGATTGTTTTTGTTAGAATTTTAATTTCAATATTTAAGAAATCACTAATCTGTCGTCAAAAGCAAGAGATTTATTGACATTTTTATAAAATTGTAAATTTTCAATCATTTCAATTCAAATTTATTGAAAAACGTTAACGTTTTGGTGTTATCCTCTTCGATTGTCACTGCTGACGGCTTTCTTCATTTTAGCAAAAAAACAATTTAAAATGAATTTAATTCGAAAATTTTAATTGACTTTTAAAATTAAAAAGATAGGAAAAAAAATTGGTAATGTAAAACATACATGAATGGAATCGGCAAAAGCCTGTTCTTCTGTCTTTGATCTTTCGCTTTCGTCTTGCTACTCCACCGAATCTACAGATTTTAGTCTGACTTCTTTTCTTGCTCACTCAAGCTAAACTTCTGAAACTGCTTTTCAGTCAGTTCTTCCAGCCTCTCCAAGACTTTGCATTCAACTGGTGAGTGAATGGTATACGGAAGCAGAGACGTAAACGAACGCTTCTTCACAATTTATCCTAAGAAATGGGAGATTTTTTTAATTAACGCACGTGCAGGGAGGGGGTGTTAGTAAAATTATTGAAGATTGATTCTTTATTACACAAAAATAATTTATTCTGAAAAATACAGATATGCAATGTATGTGTTGTATACGTGGACACTTCGCCACAAACAGATAGATAGATAGATAGATAGATAGATAGATAGATAGATAGATAGATAGATAGATAGATAGATAGATAGATTTGTTGTCGACACTCGATCGTATCCGAGCATCGGGATCGTCATCCTCTCACCCTCTTCCCTTTCTCCCCCACCCCCGGTGGCGGTGGCGTAGATGGCTGTAAATCAACGAGAGTTAAACGAAGCCATACAACTCTGCACGACGGAGAAGCCTACACACTTGACCAGAAGCGCCTCTCTTGCGCCTCAAAAGGGATTGTGACTGGCGAGACCTGGCAAGCCTAGTTGCATTGATACTTGGTCTGTCAAGGTCCGTTACGACAGCCCGACTAGCGCTGACCTCTTCTGTCGATTCGGCCGTTGAAATCCTATAGATTTTTGCCTATTACTCCGTTGGGCTCTATTACGGAGTTGGCCGCGTTCAGTCTAGTCCATACGCTTGGACCTTACTGACGTGAGTGGTCCTACAGGAGTTGGAACTCCAGACGGCTTTGCTCTTGAGATCACTAGAACAAACAAGCCCTCTCATGACAAGGAAGGACCGTGTATAACGAACTGTTCACTCCGACTGGATGTCGGAGTGAACAGTTCGTTATCAAATGTACCACTTTGACATTACTTTAATAACAATAATAGAAACGAATCAATAAGAAAAGAATAAAAATATTGAAAGTATAAAATTATCATTAAGTATATGAGAACATCTTTATTACTGCTCTTATTAAAAAAATAAATAAATAATTGAGAGATAAATAATAAGGGAAGAAATTTGTTACTGAACAAAAATTACGTTACGACTCGAAACGCTTTTCCTACAAATTTGAAAATACGCCCTCGTCCATAAAAAATGTTACGTTACTGCACTCAATAGATAAGAAAAGGATAACAGAATAAAATTATTGGAAAATGTTGTCAAAACGTTTGAATGATAAATGATAGGGAAAGAAATCGACGATACTGAACCAATAGTCAATGATAAACAAAATAAACATTACAACTCAAAATACATTTCCAACAATTTCGAAAATTACGTCCTCTTTCATAAAAAGAGAAATGTTACGCTTAAATATAAATGAAGAAATAGTCATGCCAGTGAATAAGAAATTTAACAAATACAATGTATTAAATACAATGTATTAAATTACTATAACAATTCCTAGTGATAATAGATATTCTTGCTAAACTTGCTAAAATACTTATTTTAAAAATAAAACAAAAGAAACAATCGCTGCATACATCGACTTAAAAAATACGTATTTTAATAATTAAATAGTGTAAATGAATAATAATATAACAAAATTATAATATAATTGATATAATGGAATATGCGTACACCTGTGTTCCCCCTCACTGGAATATGATTGGCTAGTGTCCGTCATAAATACCGACAGACGTGTAGGAGAGTCGAGAGCCTTAATCTGAGCGCTAAGTCTATAACGACACCCATTGGACTACGCCATTGATCTACACTTCTTCCCTGCGACTACGACGCGTACCAGTCGATTACTGCTACCATATTCTACTTGGTTATAGTAGCCAAAACCACTTAGCTACTTCGTTCAAATATATCCCTTTACGGGGCATATCAATAATAAACAAAGAAAAATTTAACAATAAAAAATGATAATTAAAAACTTTTTTTTAATCTAACATCGCTTTCTTTGTGCTATAAATAAACACGTCCGTTCACTCCGACATCAACGTCTATCCTTTCAAGATAGATAATGAACAGTAATAGATAGATAGATAGATAGATAGATAGATAGATAGATAGATAGATACTGATTTAATTTCACTTCTATAAACACTTCAACCAAAACAAAAAATAGTATTGTATTTTCTTCTTCATCATTGAAGATCAAAAGATTTTATTGTTTGCTGCGCATGCAAAAAAAAGAAAAAAAAGAAAAAAAAAACAGCGAAATAATTCGAAAAGAAAACGATGCGACTGACAATATTCGGAAAATAAAGATTTAAAAAATAAAACCCTGAGAAGATTGAATGCCAATTGACAATACAAAAGAAAGCTTTTGCTTGGACATATCGATGACTTGTTGCTTTTCGCATGCGATTTTTTGTTGACAGTATGATACAAAAATGTCTACTGGTCAATGATTACTTCCCTTTGGGCATTATCATGTCAGCAGCAATACCTACAATATAAAATATATATTATAAAGAAATTTTTGATGAACAGACTTAGACATAAAATAAAAACCCGGATAATGAAGATCTAGGTTTGTATCAATTGTCTTGTCATTTCCTTCTCTGCCTGAGACACACGATCAATTTACTAATTGATTGATTTTGTCCGACTGCAGGCAAGAAGCCAATAGAAAACGTCCAGCGGTTTATTTAGCAGACGATCACTTCAGCGTTTTCTTTGATGCAAGGTTTGTGTTTTTTTCAGTTTTTTTTTTTTGTTTTGATTTTTTTTTAGTCTGAATCATTTTAACTTTATGACAGAATCATTTTTATTTTTTAGAGTTGTTATTTCATTCAATTTATAGTGATCCGTTTTACTTAATGACGCGATATCATAAATATACAAGATTTTTTTTTGTTCACTCGTCATTTATTTATTTTTTAGTAAGGTTCACCTTGTACAAGGTAGATGGTTACTGCTTAATGCGGGTTAGTAGAAAGTATATGTACAAGTCTCTGTAAGTAAAGCCGTAATCATCTCTCTCTCTCTCTCTCTCTCTCTAACTCTTGTGAGAACACCCTGTGTCTGTCGCCGTATCTCTCAACCTGTCTCAACGTATCTTAATATTTAACAGTCCCCACCCCCACGAGGAATGTATGTGGCACAAAAGTTTAACGTAGGTTTCTCCGAGCCTGTAGGCTCGGCCAAAAATATACCCTTTGAACCCGCCTAGACGGGTTCAGGGCCTGTCCACCTCCCCGGACGAAACCCCGCCTCTCAGCAAAAACTCGTCCTGGTTCCTCTCTGCCAAAGCAGAGAGTTCGACATCTCCACGTATTTCAACAGCAGGTATTCTCTCTGTCAGTATAAGTATACTTTGGACGAGTTCATCTTATGTAAAAAGGGGAGAGCCCCACAACAGTTACGTTAAGAGGTAGTTTGTATGGATAGGAGGGGGAGATAACGGCTAACCCTAGAACAGGTTAAGAGTGTAGTAATTGGGGAAGCATCCAATTGGGAGTCTGTTCCACGAAACAGTGGTTTACAGGAAGAAGCTGTTTGAGTGGAACTTACTTCTAACTAATGGAATATAATTAGTTTGCTACAATATAAGTGGAATGGTGGGTCCCAGCCAAAAAGATTAGACCTGGCGGAATCAAAGAATGTAGTTCGTCTGAGCACTTTCCATGGAAGTAGCGACAGAGCAGTGAGAGATTTTCCACATCCCGCTCGTGAGAGAGTAGTTGGGGTTGGAAAATAATTTGTCACCCACAAAGACTCAGAGATACGTTTGGACACTATCGAGACTGGTAAGTACAATCTGGGCAACTCCTGTCCAAATATGACAACAGTACTCCATTTTTGGCCTGATCTGGCTCTTGTAAAGGTAGAAGATAACACATGGAGTCAGGTACTTACTGGAGCGGTAAAAGCAGCCGACCATTTTTACCTACATCTTTAGAGATGGCTCGTATGCACGAGTTCCACTTGAGTCCAAGCGTGAGTTTAAGGTCCAATAGTCTCTCAAGGCACAGTGCCTCTACAAGGTGACATCTGTTCATCGTGACTGGCGATAGTTCAGTTGTTCAATGATGGAATGTAACTAGTTTGGTTTTCGAGGCATCGAATGTAACCTGTCAGTTAATATTAATATTTCCGTCACTCATTAAACATTCATAATGAATTAACTTCATTCTGTAAGGAAATGAAATTACTGAACACTTTTATACATTTTCTAACAGACCATCATTCTCTCATTAGTTGTTATACTGACGGCGTTTTGACTGTTGTGCCCTTCGGCCTTCTTCGGATACCTGTCTTCATAATCGTTAACTTTCTTCGATTTTTTTTATTAAAACCATTTGTTCAGTCCATGAGAATAGTTTATTCTAATTCCTCTTTTATATTCCTAGGACATCATATCAGTTAATATTCACCAGTCTTATTTACTTTTGTGTCACTTGTCTGTTTCTTTCCCTGAACAAGATCATGCGACTGTGTATCACTAGCAAACACTGGGTTTGAAATCTTAACCTCCAGGGAACCTGATATGTTTTAACCAACACCTTAATTCATCAGGAAATGTCAGTTCAATCACCTAAATTTAAAAAGAACAAAATGTGCTAAAATGGTAAAAACGAACCGGCGACACAAACATGAAAAGGCTCGTAAGCATTGATTTTTTAGATGAAGAATTATTATTGTTATTTGCTTTGCTATAATGATTCATATCAGTTAATATTCAACAGTCTTATTCGCTTTTTTATCGCTTGCATACACAAGTTCAATGCAAGAGACAGACAAGCTTCACGAAGGCGCGCAAGATTTGTGAATATTAACTGATAAAAGTTATCTCCTCTAAGAATGGAAAACGGAATAAGAACAATCTATCATCGTAGAGTGGTTAGTTACGAATTCGAAGATAAATTCCTGAAGATGACCGGGGATGTACAACGGCCGAAACAATGTGAATATGCCAACAAAGATGAGAATGCTGGTTCGAATAGCAAAGCATGTAATAACGATCATTCCTCATTCCAAAGATTAAAACAAAAATTATAAAACACTATTATTTGTTAAAATACCTCATCATCGTCATCATCATCGTCATTATCATCATCGTCATTATCATTGTCATCATCATCGTCATCATCATATTAAACTACTTGTTTCTTCTTAGAATACCAATATAATAAACAACTTCATCTTTATGCTTCTTAGTAGGCCAGTGATCATTGTATTATTGGTAGGCCCGTCGAAAGACAACTTAAAGCTTTTGTTTTGGATTTGCTGACTTATGTTTTATTTATAATTTTGGTTCGATTCGGTTTGGTTAGGTTTGTTTGTTTAACGGCACATCAACTCCTTTTGGGTCATTTAATGCCGAAATTTAATTTTCTTGGAAGTTTTGGTAATTTTTTTTACTATTAAAATCTATCGTTAGAAATGTTTTTACTATTAAAATATGTTGCTGGTATTTTTTATATAAAAATATATTAGACCTAGAAACAACAGCAATTAAGAAGTGGTTCCACACTCCACAAAACATTTTGGTTCGCGACATAGCATGAGAGGCCGAAAAATGAATAAGGATTCTTCTTTCAATCAAATCGTCTGACCACCATCCAACCAGGAGAGCCCTAATATCTTATTCTCACAAGCTGACATTGACACCAATCTGACATTCTCCCGTCTTACTAGCTCTGGCTGACTGTCGACTTTTCAACTGGCCCAATATCGAATATTCCCGACCTTTTCCACAGAATCTCCTAATCTATTCCTTTTATATGTAGTCCTCATCAAAAATAGTTATTTACACGTATACTTAAATTAATGTGATCAGATCACGAAATATTTTCATTGGACAATATCTAACATTGACTAGTACGCGCTATCAAATATATTACTGTATTCCTCACGAGTGTTTGAGACTGGATCAAATCCAAGAGTTCGAATGTCACTTTTCAGTGTAAGCAGCAGATAAACGCTCTCCCCCTTCTCGGGAGATTGGTGAAACACAAGCTTCGTGCATTTCATTCTCCCTATGTAACCTGTTTTTTGTTTTTATATTTCTCCTTCTTTTGTTTTTATATTTCTCCTTCTTTACTACCAATTAACGTGCAAATTAACCAAATAAATAAAATTCATTATCACTGGTAGCAGCTTATCGATAAATATGAAAACATTTCTCAATAGAAGGATTTTACAAGCAAGTAGTAGATTCGTGAATAATTAACAAAGGGTTTTTCTTTTCTTCACTTAGCAGGAATTTAGTTAAGGAAATGGAAAATATAAACAGATAAAAACACAGAAAAATATAGAAAAAGAAATAAAAATGTAGAATTCATGGGAATATTTTCACAAAAATACTGATGTATCTGTGCAAACCAAATGGTCGATATTGAAAGGCAATGAAAGTGACCCTAATTGATAATCGGAAAGGTCGTTTGAGTCATCTGTAAAAGAAGAGGTACAATCGGAAATTAGACCAGAAAGAACTCGGCAGAGTCAAAAGATCCTACCTAATAAGAAAGAAAATTAAACCCGTAATTAAAATCACAAACAGGAATATTCACGAAAATTATATTTTTATCTGAAAAACCAATATGATGAGCTTGAATCGAGGACTTAAGCAGTTCTTAGTCACGTGCCAAGGGGCAACTGTCATTTGGCTCAGTCGTTTCTACTCCGTTTGGGCGTCGAGACGTAAGGAAAATCCGACCAGCTTTTGCCACCTTGCCTATTCTAGTCGCCACCAGCGTGAAGAAAAACAAATCATATTTTGTACAAAAGATAATAAAACACTCGTCAATATTACTCCTCTTTCTTACTTACTCTTTCACTAAACATTGATCCCCAAAAGGGATTGAAGAGACGGAATTAAGCAAACAGATCAAAGTCATATGGGAGCCTTACTATCCAAATCCGCTGAGGGAACGAGATGGAACCACTTCAAAACTGGAGAAAGTCATCATTCCGTATAACCCCACAAAGATGGCTAGCATGGCCAACACGAGTCACTGTTGACGATCCAGTAAGGATGATAGGATCACATAACAAACGAAAGCAATTATCCACCCAAAAGATCCTGTTTGACGGGAAGATTTCTATGTTGTGATGTGATTACATAGGTCTACCTTTGTAAAGAATGAATGAATGGATCAAAAAAGAAACAAAGTTATTTTGGCTAAAGGAGTTTCGACTTTATTGACAGCTCTTTACGTTTTATTACTTAAATATTTTACATAAAGATACAAGTGTGTGACATAGAGTGAGGATCGAACTCACTTCTTTAGAAGTTATCATGTATTTAAGGTGCTAGTTAAATGTTACAGAACTTTGAATAGCGAATATGAACTTAATGTCATACAGACTTTTTGCCGCTACCTTTTGTGAACTAAGTATACAAACAGAAACTAAGTGAATATTTCAAAAGAAACAATGGAAACTTGATAAGTGGGTAAATAATTTATTTTTCACTCGTTATTGGGTTTTCTTCAGAAGAAAAAGGAAAATTGTTCTCTGTCTTTTTATTTGTCATTCATGATTTTTTTTTATTTTCCGTCATTTATTTTTCAGCAAAATATTTAGCATGAGATGGTGTAAAAAAAATAAATCAGCCACTCCAGAAAATTTATGTTATTGATTTGTTTTTTTACGACTTATCAACCTCTTGCACGTTATTTAAAGCCAGAAAATATTTTTAGATTGTAAGAATTGTTTTGGAGATAATAATGATATACTGATACAAGTCGTACTAATTAATCCATAGGTGGGGGTGAAGAGCTGGATTCACACCTTTCTCAAGATTATTTGCTCGTAAGTGAATACAACGAATTCGATTGGAATTGGAACTCGTCTCCGTTTTACAATTCCGAGCCGTTATTCATTACACCAACTGTACATCCAAACTTACAACACAGTACTGACCAGGCTTGACATTGCTTAACTTCGGTGATCGTATGAGAACCGGTGTTTCAACGTGATAGGGCCGTAAGTCTCCATTTTCAAAAACGATACAGTAATAAGATATCAACTTAAAAAAATCCATTCTCATAGTTTATTATAGAATTTCTTATTCTTTTTTACTTAAAACTGTTTTTTAATGAATAGTCTTTATCTTTTTATAATGAAATGAATGGGTTATCTTTTTAAAGTGTAAAAAAAATAATACAAAACTCTTTTGGCATGTTTTTCACTATTTCTTACGAGTTCTTTTTCCTTGCTTCACTGGGGAATTTATGTTAAAACATGTACAAATTATGTCTATGATTGAATCTTCTCAATGTACGATTATCATTGGGAAATAGAAAAGCAAAAAACGTGTATGAAAACAAAAAGCAGGACATATTGATCAGCGCTTTCGAAAGAGACAAAAACTTTATTCAGAAATTCAAGAGAGTTCGCTTCATATCAAATATACAATTTGTTCATCACGCGACCCTTACGTATGATCTTCTCCCAAATAAAATAATCGACTAAATAAAAAGGATCAAAAATAAAAATGGAAGAAAGGGAAGAGAACGATAAAATCTTTTGTGTGGAAGGAAAATCAGCGGCAGAGGGGGGAAGGTATTTTGGAATATCGACTTCTATATGGGTCATGTATACTGACACATTGTTTCCAGAAGGGATTTTATTAATGTAGAATAACAATACAATAAACGACAGCAATAACGAAATACTTGGAACATTATGAATGAAAAAGTGTCACGTGATACATTTGCCTGATTGGTGATAGTGGTGGTTGTGGTAATGAAGGTCACGTTAACTTAGTGGGTCTAACGTCGTTTCAACCCATTGGGGTTATTTAATTTAATGCATATCTGGGTTAATACCTGGGTTATCTAATGAATCGTCAAAAGTGCAGACATATGTCCGGTTTCAGTCAGTTATGTGCCATACGTGATACACGCTTTCGATACATGACTGACGAGGCAAATTTTTTCCCGCGATATGTTGCCATTACTTTCTGCGGTAGACCAGTTGCTATCCAAGGCTATAGAACCCGGTTTGTCCAGCTATTTACTAAAACTGGGGGGAAGAGGGTAGAAGTGAATGTAATGGATTCGAACTCGGCTCTCCGATTCCTCAATCAGAGCCGCTATCCATTACTCCCAGTTTACACGAGCCAAAATCCTAGACACGGATCGGTTTGCACTAGAGTGAAAAAAAAAAAAGATATCGATCAGCTTTACCTGATAACCAAAACAGTACACATAGATCAGGTTTACACGAGAGTCTACAAATAACAACCCGGAATGTGGCCTCCTTTTTTAGGGGGGGGGGTACCCATCTTCTAGAAATATAGTCGACGGGCTGGAGTAAAGGATAGCGGCTTGGAGTGAGGAATCGGAGAGCCGAGTTCGAATTCCAGTCGGATCAATTACATTCACTTACGTGATAATACCTTTCGGGAAAGGTATGAATCCTCTTCTTCTCCCTCTCGCTATGAGTAAATAGTAGGACAGACCGAGTTCTATAGCCTTGGATGGCAACTGATCTACCACAGAAAGAAATGGCAACCTACTGTGGGAAAAAATCTGCCTCGTCAGTCATGTATCGAAAGATACATGATCGCCTAAGCGTGTATCACGCATGGCACATAACTGGTTCTAAGCCCCGCTGACGAATCAAGAAGAATTTATATTTGTTTTCCTAGAGTGTGTGGTAGGGCTATACACAAAAGTATTTTTTTAACTTTTTTTTTATTTTTGCTGAAGTGACGAAGAGTTGTCAAAAAACAGACAGAAGTATTACCACCTACACCTCGTCCCGTTAAACTAGAGGTGTCATTTCAATGTTGTCCCCGTTTACGTCCAAGTAGACAGAGAGATAATATCTGTAATCAAAAAGTGTGGTTCAATTTACTATTGCTATACTCTTTTCACCTGCTTCAATTGTGTCGTCGATCAAGCCTCGACTGTCTGGTTGCTTTCATAGAAAAGATGCAATACTCGCGAAAGAGAGTAGGTCATTGACACAAAAGAGAATCGGCCTTTATCAGACAGAGTTGTCTTTCTTGTCAGTACACTCCTATCTTTTATTTAGAGGTTAATTTAATCTGTCTCCGAAGATAGGAAGAAAATGCTTTGAGATTTCTTTACGCCGAGCACACACATGCGTACGCACACACGTATACATAAAACACGCAGCCGGATATTCAAAATACTAAAAGATGAAAGAAGATAATATTGGAATAATGTGGTCTTCCCTAATGAAATTTACGCAAGAAAGCAGCAAAAAGTAAAACCATTGGTGCGTTAAGAAACGCTGAAACTATGTCTTCGTTTGCCACGAGAACAAATAATGGCGTCCAAGTGTATGTGTGCAGACTAGATGCCTGTGTGCTTGTATTAGTGTCAGCTTTCAAGTATTTCTATGGGTAACGTGAAACAAAATATTGCTGTGATGAAAAGCACGGTTTTATGTATTTATTCCGAGAAAATTGACCTCAGTTTTTTAACTTTTTGTCTTTCATTATCAACACCAAAGTGCACTTGCCTGCGTACGTGCTGGTGGCGCAACAGTTATTTAGAACCGCTGTGGTTCAAGATATTTCGAACGACTTCGCAGTTATTATCAAGAGCTTGATATACATATTCAGTGATGGCTGTTAGCACATCAACGGTAGACCTGGCTAAACGGAAGCCATATTGTTTCTCAGAGAGTAAGCCGTGAAGGGTAAGATGTTTAACTACTTCAGCATTAATTAAAGCTTCGAATACTTTGGCGAAAAGTGGTAAGAGACTAATATGGCGATAGTTAGTGGGGTCAGAATGTTCTCCAGAGTTCTTAAAAACAGGAACCACACAGGAAGACTTCCAAAAAAACTGGAAAACATGAAGCAGAGAGGGAAAGGTTGTAGAGTTTGGAGTGAATTGGAGCCAGCTCGAGAGCCCATTCCTTTTGGACGATGGCTGGGACCCCGTCACCTCAGCTTGCCTTATGGGAGTCTAATTTAGAAATAATGCCTGAGACCAGTGATGGGGTTATGCGCATATCACTCAGTAGAGTTTTTGTTCTAGGGGGGAAATCAGGTGAAGGTCCTCCAAATGAGTCGGGTGTTGAGTTGGAAGAGAATTTCCGAGTAAAACATTCAACCTTATCAGCTGTAGATGTCAGGACTTCGAATTGATTGAACTGAGGAGTTGGTCAGTATACTCTAGAACCGAACTTGCAAGATGCTATACGTTGTTTCATTCTATCAGCAAACAGTATCTTCACTTCTTTCAGAACAGGCTTGCACTCATTACGAGCAGAGACAAACAGTCGCCTGTTTCAATCAGGCGTGTTGCTCTTATACAGCAGGAAGAAGTGACTCTTGTGGGCTATAGCAGCCGAGCATGCAGATGAGAACCAAGGAATTAAATGGGATTTAACTTTGCTGAAATCAAAACATCAATGTCGGCTCAACCAGGAGGAGACCTCAGACGCATATTTTTAAACACTATAATTAAAACTTAATTCCAAGGGAGTCTCGAAGGAAATCACGGAACAAGTCCCAATCCACTCGTTGGTAGCAGAAAGATATTCTGTTGGTCGGAGATTCTTGGCTGCCAGGAGAGCGAAAAGAGATGTTTACAGACACTACCGCATGATCAGAGTTGCCAAGAGGGCATAACTGCATAGTACGACATGAGTCTGGTAAAGAAGAAATCTTAAAGAAATGCGTATCCATCAGGGTTACCGGGAAAACGCGTGGGGAAGTCAACCACTTGCGTGAGAGATTGAGTAATTAAAAAGTTCAGAGTTTGGATGTCAGTGAGGTCAGTGACAGAGTGTTTAAGCCACCTGGCATAATGCGCATTAAAGTTACCGAAGACAAACATATATGCAAACGAGTGTAAGGAGATGGGCTTGTCTATATTATCAGAAATACTTTCTAGCACGCAACAGTCATGAGAGGAAGGGCAACGGTAGAGAAAGAAGAGATAGCTGACTGAGTTTAGTAGAGAGAGACAGAGAGACATGTAAGAATGTTCTGGAGATTCCAGCGGGAGATGTTCGCAGACATAAACTCCTAGACCATGCATGTGGACATTAGAGTCCTTCCTAAAGAGAGGAAGATAGCAAGAAATCGAGAATCGATTAGTTTCACAGAGAGCTAGAATGTCTGGAGACTTTTTGAAGAGGAACGATTCCATACTGCAGAAGTTGGTACGAATACCACGAATGTTGGAGAAAGAAAGAAAGAAAGGTTAAGGGGTGTTTTTTGTTGAGCTGGTTTAGTTTTAGGTCGCTTATAGTCATGGTGAGTTATCTTAGTAAGTAATAGTAGCAGTCGGTCGTTTAATGTAACATGTGCGGGAAAGGAACTGCGGCAGACTGCAATATAGTAGTGGGCTCGGGGTTGCCCACTGAAGGTACTTACAGGGACACCCTTCCACATTGCGATGCAAGAACCCCGATCAGAGTCGTCTTTCTCCTTGACTGGTTGCCTATTCAACACAAGAGACCCAATCTGCCGTGCTATTTAACACATAGCTGAGAGAGGAGAGATGTTGCCACACCTTCCTCCAGGATATTTGTGCGAAAGTAAATGTCACGAATTCGAGCGAAATTTGAACTCGGTTCGCCGCTAACCGTTACACCAACGCACGCATCAACATAAATAGAATTAGGTGCATTTGTACAGCAAAAAGACAACATTTACTAAGAGCTACAAACACACGTTCTGAAGTGACACGACATATAAAAGAGAAATCAAGTGGAAGCAGTGAACTGATAAATGTGCGCCTTCCTTGCTTTCATTTTTATTTACTCAAGGTTCAATGGCGTCGTGATGCCGCCCCCACCATAGCACGTACCCTACATGCCATCGAAATACGCCAACTGGGTGTCGAAAATACTCGTAAAATACGCAATATCCTACCAATGCGGTACAAATTTCTATCTACGGCGCAAGTTCGATTAGTTCTGAGTGACATAACTGAACTTGTTTGTAATCAGGACGAATTCAAACGGGCTCTAAGTGATTTCATCTGTAACTGAAGGGTCAGGGTATTTTACGAACAACAGTTTAGATATTCGGTCTTCAATTCGGTCACCCGCTGCTCAAATTTCGTGAGAAAGGAAATGAAGCAAATAAATAAATAAAAACATTCGATATTAAGTGCCACACCACCGAATGTTAAGGACTTCCGTTTGTGGGCTTATGTAGGCAGAATCACAGTTGAAGTCGGTTATGAACCAGCTGTTAATAGGTGACTAGCTCTCAGTCGAAGATGTAGACAGTGAGTCACAGAGTAGAGACAGATAAAGTCAAAGATAGACACAGGTGGGGGGAGGGCTGGAATTCTCGCTGGGAAAATCTAGTCCGTTTGTCGTGAGAGAAGACAGAAGTAGCAGTGAAAATGATGTCACTTACCTACCCCCAGACCGTGCTTGGTGAATCCGTGAATTAACAGGAAAGAGATTGAAACAGGATTCGTGTTTTCTTTATTCCTCATAGCTTTATTTCACATGCCGTTCCCTTGTGAACGTACATCGGTCCTTTTCACAGTTTTTGTTCCTAAGAACACAAACGTGAATCGAAACAATGTGTAGTGATTTATTCCGTTGGAGGATCATAGTTGTATGTTTATATATTCATGAATGAAAGATTCCTTCGGGAGATTACTTGAAAAATATGTAATATCCTCTGGTATAAATATTAATTCAAAGAAGCTTTATTTAATTCAATAAACTTTAAGAAAGCTTAGAAACTTAAATTTCTATTTGATTGGATTCAAAAAAAAATTCTGCCTTTGTTCTTTTCATGGATATGACGCTAGGCGACATCAAAAACTAAACCCGTGTTAAACAAACGAACAGTGGATCTACGAAGATAGGTCAAATCATCAAGGATAACAATGCTTGTGTTAATTAATATGATCAAAAGAGCGGAACAAGTGAAAAAAAATTGTCTCTGTTGTTGATTACTGATTGAGGATTTAATTGGCATTCAACTAGGGAAGCAAAATTTGAAAGAAAATCGGATCGTTATGGAATTTACTGGAAGGCGATAAGCATTACTGAGATTTACATCTGCAGAAGGAAAAGAAATAAAAAAAAGAACCGCGATAAACAAAAAAAAACAATTCCCTCTCTCTCTCCCTCTCTCTCTCTCTCTCTCTCTCTTTCTTCTTCTCTCCTATCATATATTTGATTTCACTCACACTCTCTCTCTCTCTCTCTCTTCTTTTCTCTTGCTGTACTTTATCCTCACTTTCTCTCCTCCATTTCTTTCTCTCTTATTTATCTTCCTAATCTTTGTACATTTATCACTTTCTCTCTCTCTCTCTCTCTCTCTCTCTCTCTCTTCTTTCGATTTCATTTTCTCTCTCTCATTCCTATTTTCCTCCTACTCTTTGTCCACTTATCTATATTTGATTCTTTTTTATTCCCCTCCCTCTCTCTCTCCATATGTCTCTCTCTTTTTCGATCTCTCGTTTTCTTTCTTCGATTTCCTTCTATCTCTCTCATCCTTATTTTCCTCCTACTATTTGTTCACTTATCTCTCTTGGTTTTATTCTTTTTTCTCTCCCCCCCCCATTTCTCTCTCTCTCTCTCTCTCTCTCTCTCTCTCTCTCTGTCTCTGTTCTGTTTCATCTTTTCTCTTTCCCATTTACATCTGGTCCATATCACCACCTCTTCTTATTCATCTTTCTCTCCCTTTCCTTTTCTCTTTTCTTCTTCTCCATCTCCTACCTTTGCGTATAAATTTCTTCTCTCTCCCCCCTTGTATCACTCTTTCTCTCTCTGACTCTCACACACACACGCGCGCGCGCGCGCTCGCGCGTGCACACACACACATACCTTTTTTCTCACTCCTACTTACATCTTACTTCTTGTTCATATCTCTTATTTCTTCTTATTCTTCTTTCTCTCCCCTTCTTTTTCTATTATTTTCTTTCTCTCACTGTTTTTCTTTCATTTCCCTCTCTCTCTCTCTCTCTCTCATCTTTTCTCTTTTCCATATACTTTTTACTTCTGGTTCTTTTCTCTCATCTAATTTATCTCCTTTTCTCTATTCTTTTTTCTCTCTCTCTCACTTTTCCTCTTACACTCTCTTTTTTTCCTTATCTCTCTCTATCGTTAATTTTAAGTTATTATTCTTTATGAAATTCACTTACTAACCACTGCTTTACAGCAATTCGTGTTTTCAGAGGATTTCTTTTTTTGTTTTAAAGACACGTAAATTCACTTGGTCGAGACATTAGACAGGAAATCGGAAATTAATAATATGAAAAATCCGTTGCAAAGAATTCAAATTTTACAAAAAAAAGGTCAGAATGAAACTGATACCTTATTTACTGAACTACTGTTAGATCAAAAGTGCTACGACCGGTGTACAGCCATACCTTCTAGCGTTAAAGAATTTCTTCTCCCCCACCCCAGTTAGAATGCATCTTGTTTGATTAGTCATGTGATCCTCAACTGCCAATCAATGGAGCCCTGCCTTTACAAAGAGAGCCTCTTTTACTGACTCGTGGGTGCCTTTTATAACCTGATATGCCGTATTTGTGAGTAAAGACGGCCTTTTGTAAGTTTTCTCTACTATTTTCCTTCCCAGGTTTGGAAAGAAGGGAGGTAATACATTTCTATACTTTGTAATATATTTCTATACTTTGTTAGCAGATTTTGGTTTTGGGTTTGTTTATTGTTGTTGTCTTTTTGTAGAAAATAAAAAAAACATAATTTACGTTCTTCTGACTTCTACCTATCATAATCTATATTGCACATTTATAAGTCTACCATCCATTCATGCATTGAATATTACTGTTACATCTTGCTTCTGCTATGTTTGTAGAGATCCATAATATAATACAAATAATCTGCAATGTTATCAGTCCTAATCTGGCATCTGGGTTTCAGTCACTTTCCCACCGGAGTAACGTAACTTCTCTCTACTCTTTCTATAAACACTTTCTCATAGTAATTGTTTTGATGAGCTTTTCTCTTTGGTATCTAGACTTTATAAATTTAAGCGCAGTACTAGATTGGTGGCTAGCTCTCGTCATTTTACAGTTGAATTAGTTATATATAACTGTACGTTTTATGCTAACAGCTTTTCTTTTCTCGCACTTCTCGCTTGTGGAACGTCTGGACTCTTTAACTTTGATTTTCGAACATTTAATCGTCATCTTCTATCTTCTTAATTCCGGTTCTTTTAATGTTCTCTCTCCTTAATAATGTTTTTTTGTTTCTCATAATCTCTCACGTTCAGTAACCTCTTGCGTCTTAGTGGCTTTATTGCCTTGATGATGGTGAAACGATTAAATAAATATTTGCCTTATAAATGTTTGAATAATTACCTGCTTTCGATGATTATATAAAGGTCGCCCAACATTGATAAATCAACACTAAACACAAATCAGTCTGTTTAGGTTTTGAAGTTCATGACTAAAAATGATCGTTGGAATTTCGAACTTTTACAAACGATAGCATAAAGGAACATCAGAAGTTTATTGTGAAATTTTGAACTAATAATTAGTTTCGACTTTATGAAATTTTATGTGCTTGAGATTAACTAATACCATGTCAACTTGTTCTTATAATTTATTTATCTTCTTTGTTGATGAAAAATGTGTTTTGCCGTTCAAATATTTAAGAATGATGACATCTTCGTTGCTTTTTTGTAATTTTAGAAAAAAAACGGAAAATAGAATTACAAACTTGACTGATTTATTTTTTACGGCTTATCAACCTTTTTAAGGTTATTTAAAGACGAAACATATTTTTAGATTGTAAGAATCTTTTTTGAGATAATAATAATTTTCTTACTATTTAACCCATAGATGGGACGAGAAGAGGTGGATTTATACATTTCCCAAGGGTGTTTGCACGTAAGTGAATATAGCGAACCCGACTGGAATTCGTACTAAGATTTCTGATCTTTCATTTCGAGCCTTTATCCATTACTCTACCCGCATATCTAGGCTTACAGTACCTGGTATTCCCGAGTGTTGGCCCATCTAAGTACTGGCCAGATTCGACATTACTTAACTTCAGTGATCGGATGAGAATCGATGTTGCAACCTGATATGGCCGTAATCTACAAACGCAGTTTGATAAAAAAAAAAATTAATCGTTTCACCCAAGGCAATCATGCCACTAGACGCAAGGGGTTGCTAGGTGTGAAAGGGAATGGGAACATTTTAGTGAGGAGAATGGACAATAAAAGAACAGAAGACGGTTGCATCTAGTAAGTTCAACAGTAAAACGGTGGGACCTAGTTGCCAATCTAGTAATACGTTTAAATTCATGTAGTCAAGACAATAAGGAAAACAACTCATTAGGACAATTGGCATGAAATTATTTGTAGAAAAGACAGAGGAAAACCACGTCACGACTGTGTGAAAATGACTGATGTTGAGATGCCAGGTCAGGGTCGATTACATTGCAGATCCTTCTTTGAATTTTTCTCAAGAATCTTGAGATATACAATAGAAACGCCAGACCAGATATGGCAGCAATATTCAATGCACAGACAAATGGCAGATTTATAAATGTGCAAGATGGATTCTGACGAAAAAAATTGTTTATCAATGATAGTGAATCAACTTTCCTAGCAGTACGCGAACCCAGGAAGGTACAAAGTGTTGCACTCCTGGAGATTAACATCAGCCATACTGAGGGCAAACAGAAAAGATATTTGAATACTTTCAGCATTTTGGTAAAATTTTTGAATTCTTCAAAAAATAAAGAAAAAGAGATCGATGAAACATGAGTATGTCATCTTAGCTATTGCAAATTTTACTAGTATATGAATATAGCTATGAGGTTGAAATTGAATCAACTTTTAAGCGTAATCAGCCTGTTTGCATTCTAGTTTTTCCCTTAGTACAGACGCCAAAGACAAACATAAATGCGACCTTCAAAACTCCGTTGCTAATTTAGTGGACTCTGTTTCCTCGCTAAGAGTGAACTTTAATGTCTAATGACGTGGAAAAGCATATCTTTGCACGCCTTGTGTTTATTGTTATTTAACTCACAAACAATAAATGGATCTCTGTAGTCTTTGTTTTAGAACTGCTTTCTTATCCATCTTCCTTATAACCATTAAAATATAACCGTCCAAGAATTTATATGTAGCGATTGTTTTGTATTTATATGCAGGCTGAAATGGAGTTGCCATGACATTAGGTCAAAAAGAGGCAGGAAAGGCGAAAACGATTTGAAAAGAAGCAGGAAGAAGGTGCGAATGATATGTAGCTGGAATGTCGGAAAAACTGACAGAAAAGAACTCTGTTTTGAGGCGGGAAATTTCAAATAGTTGTGGGCTTGTGTTCAGTACAAGAAGGACAGCTGACAATAGATAGCCGAGGTGAAAACCAATTTCTGTTGAAGAGTTGTCAACAAGTTACATTGCATGTACTGAACGCTAAAAGGACTACTGGAAAGTAACAGTATAATCCTGCTTTGGGGAATAAGTAGTCTGCTTGATTACCCTACTTGTCTGACAATGAATTTCTGTTTGCGGCCACTAGCAGACATTGCCAAAGATCTATATAAAAGTAAAAGGAGTCAACTTTCATTGTCATTTTTTCTTTCTTTGCACACAGGATGCCTTAGAGCAGTGCATTTCAGTTTTTTTAAGCAACCCCACACCTAGGACCAAATGAAAATATCACGGCACACTTAGCAAAATTTGTAAAGAGTATACATTATTTATGAAATAAAACCATAATTTTTTTATTAATTTTGAATTAAACAATACAATTATATGAAAAAAGGTTAATAATCATTTATTCAGATAAAGGAAAATTTTTAAATAGTTTAATCTAAATTTTTTAAAAAAATACCTCTTTAAAAAATGAATAATTAAAATAACACAAGTAAAGAATAGTGAAAAGAATTATTTGAAAAAAATTTAATACTTATTCATTTATTCAAATACAAACCCTGTACAATTACTCTTTCCACACACACATAATATATGGACACCGTGACAATGTTTCGCGGCACACTTAAGAGGATCGCGCGGCACACTATTGCGCCGCGGCACAGTAGTTGAGAATCACTACCTTCGAATCAAAATGTGTCTTGTTTCCTCTCTCGAAGACTTTTCGTTAACATCTTTCTTCTTGATTCCTGTTCTTTTATTGTTCTCTCTCATATTCTTTCACGTTCCTTGCATCTTAGTGCCTTTATTGACTTGCTTGGGGGATGATTTAAAAAAAAAATGACAAAGCATTAATTTACTTACTTATAATATTATTGTCATGGGTTTAAATAGTCACACACAAATACTAGTTCTGTCTGGAAACTATCCAGCCCTTTTGAAAATCTCAAGAATTGGCTGTACGGCTTTTGATGCAACTTGACAATAAATCAGAGGGGATATTACTGCGCATGTGTAAACCGACACTCTTTTGTAATGTTAATCAGTCAGTAGAGAGATGTCATTTTGTAAGTTTGTTTATTTTGTAACCGTCACATTGACAGTGAATATGCATTATTTTTTGCTTCAAATTGCGCCACTGAAATTATTCGAATGATTAAGAAGGGTTCCGAGGATAATTCAGTGAGTAAACTCCAGCGAAATTTTTTGTACAGACTCTTCAAAATTTGATCTGGAGCCCAATGAAAGCGATCTGATCTAGGATACTTTATACAAACACAATATTCGAAAACCTTTAACGAGCGCGGGTTACATTTTTTTTAAAATCGGCAAATTGCGGTTCTGCAAAAGCATGCTAAACAACAGCAAACCCTCAATACCCCCTTTATTCAACCAATTTGAGGTCCTGACCTCCTCACCTGATAAGGCTGAATGCTTTGCTTGCAAGCTCTCATCCAATTCAACGCTAGACTCATCTAGTGTACCCACACCTGACTGAGGCTCTACTGACTGAGATGTTCATAACCCTAACGATGGTATTGGACATCATCTCTAAATTAGACTACCATAAGGCTAGTGGTGGGGACGGGATACCGGCCGTTGTTCTGAAGAAATGTACTCCTAAATTGGCCCCTCTCCTCTCTAATCTTTACAACGACTGCCTCACCGACTCTTGCTTTCCAGCCTCTTGGAAGTCCTCATCTGTTGTGCCTGTCTTTAAAAAATCTGGTGACCCTTCTGACCCGCCTAACTACCATCCTATCAGTCTCCTACCCCTCTTCGGTAAAGTCTTCGAGGCTTTAATCAACGCCGAAGTGGTTAAGCACCTTACTTCACATAATCTACTCTCCGACAAGCAATATGGTTTCCGCTTTGCCCGATCTACTGCTGACATGCTCACGGCCATAACTTAATTTGTATACCAAGAACTTTTACAACATCGTGGCTCTAGACACATCTCTAAAGCGTTTGATAGGGTTTGGCATGCTGGCCTTCTTCACGGCATTACAGAACGATTATTTGACAATACAATCATTCTTGTCAAACCGTGAAATGAAGGTCGTTCTAAACGGGTTCTCCCCCGGCTCCTTTATCACGAACACTGATGTCTCCCCAAGGCACTGTTCCTGATCTTCATCAATGACCTTCCCGATGTCATCAGTTACCAAGTTGCCATCTACGCGGACGACATCACTATTTACTCCCGCCTCAATAGTAAATCTAGTATCGTTGACAAAACTAACCTGGCTGCTGATCTCGAAAAGGAATTCCAATCTGTGGTTGACTAGGGCAGGAAATGGCTTGTAAACTTTAATGCCTCCAAAACGAAACTGCTCTCCTTCACCCACCACAGAGAACCCTTCCTGCCTCCCATCAGAATGACAGATTCCCAACTCCTTGAGAGCACCTCGTTACACCGGCTTGGTCTCATACAGTCCACTGACATGAGGTGGGATAAATACATTGAATCAATAGCTTCATCTACCGCAAGGAAAGTTGGCTCTCTGTGTTGTACCAGAAAGTTTTTCCTGTCCATCCTTAAAATCTATAAATCAACCATCCGTTTTTGCATGGAATATTGCTGTCATATATGAATTGCCCTTTAAAAAAAAATGACAATGCCTGAGTTAGAAAACCTTGAATTGTCCAAAAAATTTCCGGACATTATCTCGGCTGGATTTTTTTTTTTTTTTTACTAAATATCACATCATCCACTTCTTCTAACCAAATCCACACACATCGTTCCTATTTAGCGTCTTGCGAATCCTGGCTTTTCCCAAAACTAAAATCACTATTAAAAAAAGATTACATACGGTAAGGATATTAAGGATTGTGGTGACGATGAGGCAGCTAATGCCAATACTAAAAGAAATCTTTGTATACCGCTTTGAACTATGGAATGAACGTTTAGATAATTTTTTTATTGTTGGATTTTGTTTAGCGGCATATCAACCTGTATGGGTTATTTAATACCGAAATCTAAATATTTTGAACACAGTTTTATGTCTTCAACTACAAATAAGATGTATTTTTGGTCATTTTGCTTTGAAAATGTATTGTTAGTAATTTTACTATATATATATATATGTATTGTTGATCTTTTTTTATATAAAAATGTATTGCTGGTATTTTTAGTATAAAGATGTATTTTTATACTTTCATGGTATTTTGTTTTTGTTTTGAGGGCTCAATATTTGCCCATAGATAAGGACCATAACAGGTACTACCACCCCAGTTCAGGCTGAACTTGGGAACAATAGTAATTAAGAGGTGGTTCCACGCTCATCAAAACCGCCAATCTCCCAATCAAAGGTCTTGCTGCCGGATGGAGTTTATCTTCATACCCAGGACTATTGAGATAAGTATGTGATACCCCAAGTGTAGTAACTTGAAAGGGATTAAGACTACATTGGCTTACCTAGGATAATTTCCGTTAATGGTTAATTATTTTCCCGACACATCTCTTATGTTTTTCAGAAAAATAGATGAACACTCATGTACATTATTGACCTAAAATGAAAATTTTAATGTTATACTTGAACACATAGAATAATGCAACCAATATTATAAATAAGGTCAATTTTTTATAACTGTTCTTTTCTGTGGCGTACCTAACGTTTGTGCTGCTTTGGGCGGTCGTAGAATTTGCTGCCCCTTAAAAGTAAATATTACAATTACAAACATTTTTGAATGAAGATAAAAATGCAGC